CGATTCTGCACTTGAATCTTCGTCTTCAAATATTACTTCCACTTCTTGACATTCCACCTTCACCTCTTCATATTTCACCTCGATACCTTTAAAAGTGTCCAAGCTGGGATTTTCTTCCAGTTCTTGTTTCTCGAGGGATGGGCTCATTGCAGCACTTTGACTTTCACAAGCTGATTTCAGACTCCACTCCTGGTGGATATTCTGATGCTTGTGTGTTCTCTGGTGGACTTGAAGATTGGAAGAATTTGAAAACGTCTTCCCGCACAGAATGCACTTGTAGGGTTTCTCTCCTGTGTGTGTTCTCTGGTGTGTTACAAGAGCAGTTGACTGTGTAAATGCCTTCCCACACACACTGCACTTGAAGGGTTTCTCTCCTGTGTGTATTCTCTGGTGTCTTTTAAGAACAGATGACTGTGAAAATGCCTTCCCACACACACTGCACTTGAAGGGTTTATCTCCTGTGTGAGTTCTCTGGTGTCTTTTAAGAACAGATGACTGTGAAAATGCCTTCCCACATACACTGCACTCAAAGGGTTTCTCTCCCGTGTGTGTTCTCTGGTGTATTACGAGAAGATGGAAAACAGAAAACGCCTTCCCGCACAGAGTACACTTGAAGGGTTTCTCTCCTGTATGTGTTCTCTGGTGTCTTTTAAGAGAAGATCGCCATGCAAATGCCTCGTCACACACAGTGCACTTGAAGGGTTTCTCTCCCGTGTGTGTTCTCTGGTGTCTTGTAAGGACTGATGGCCATGCAAACGCCATCCCACACACAGTGCACTTTAATGGTTTCTCTCCTGTTTGTGTTCTCTGGTGCTGTGTCAAATTTACAGTCTGATCTGTGCTGTATCCACGCTGGTCGCATTGTTGACTTGTCGTATCGACCTGCGCTGAGCGTCTTTGCTCCATCAGACCAAGCGACAGCTGCAGACAGAAAAGAATATCCACTCCATCTACACGTCAGTATCGAGACACAGAGGAATGCAAAAACACAGTCACACGTGACTTACACATCTAGACTCATTCACATATTCATGATGCAGTGAAAACGTTTCCCAAGTTTATCACACGGGCTGTTATTGCACACGACGAGAGGGCAAATGGTCATAAATGTGCCTGGAAGCCCTCGTATCTCCGTGGTGAGATGTTAACTACCTCACCTGGTGTACAGGAAGTCGTGGGTTCGATCCCGGCCCTGCTGCTGCTGCTGTATATTTGGAGTTTGCGTGTCTCTCTCTCTCTCTCCGTGGTGAGATGTTGACTACCTCACCTGGTGTACAGGAAGTCGTGGGTTCGATCCCGACCCTGACGCCTGCTGCTGCTGTATATTTGGAGTTTGCGTGTCTCTCTCTCTCTCTCCATGGTGAGATGTTAACTACCTCGCCTGGTATACAGGAAGTCGTGGGTTCGATCCCGACCCTGACGCCTGCTGCTGCTGCTGCTGTATATTTGGAGTTTGCGTGTCTCTCTCTCCGTGGTCGCGTGGATTTTCCTCCGAATCTCCCGGGTTTCCCCTCCACATTTAGAGTCAACATCAGCACGCGTGCAGCGTCTTTGACCGATACACATTTCCACACGTAGTCTTGGTTCTTTCGGTAAAGTTGCGTAGATAGGAAATAACAGTAATAGATAATAGAATTAAATTAATAAAGACCGCTTGTGTTGCGATCGAAACGTCGTGGTTTTTATATATTTACAATTTTGTTTATTTTGATTAATTTTATTAACCGTTATTTTTATTTAATTTTCTATCCACGTGACTTTACCGAAAGAACCAAGAATATTAATTGCTGCAGTTACGAAAGTTTTAAGTCAAAACACTGACACACGCGTTGACAAACCCCACCTTGTGTTGTGGGCATGTCGCCCACAACACAAGGTGTATCGCAGCTCAAGCGGGCTTGGCCTGGTAAAAAAAAGAAAAAAAAACTGCGTTAATATTTACAATAAACCAAAGTTACAAAGTAGTGAAGACAAATTAAACATAAGCGAGAGAATTAAAGCAAACGCAACCAGGCGAGGGCAGGAGGCAAGGCCCCGCGTGTCTAGGCCCCGCGTTGTAAAGTTCCAACTTGGACATCGATTCACAAGCTGCTGCTGCTCTATTGACGTCCCTACGAGAGAGAGCGCGAGGCTCTAGCTGGGTAAACAACAACAACCACAACAACAACCACAACAACCACAACAACAACGATGAGAATTTCTCACCTCACTGCACGCGCGAGGCGACAGCTTCCTGTCACCTCGTGACGTCACGCGGTAGTAGGTGACATGACGTCACTTCCTGGGCACAAGACACGCCCCTCCCACAACGAGCGGCTCTGTAACTAAATATGAATAAATTATGTTAATGAGACCGTCGCAATAACCTCGTGACGTCTTTAACGAACTCTTTCTGTTAATGAGCCGCCCGTCCCTGGGCGTGGCTTTGCCCAAATAAGGATTGGCAACTGGAGCGACGTCTGCAGTGACCGAGGCGGAGGTGACGTCACGTTCAAGAGCGCGGGGGACGGGAGTGACATCCTTGGCGACATGACGTCACTAGCGAGGTACACCTCCCTGGCGTTTCACGCGGATGACGTAATGCTGAGTGGTGACGTCACCGAGCGGGGTTGAGTTTAAGTTGATTTAGATCCATTTTCATTGCTCCATCTCTTGAACAGAGACCCCTTGGGTGTGTGTACACTGTGTGTGTGTGTGTACACTGTGTGTGTGTGTACACTGTGTGTGTGTACACTGTGTGTGTACACTGTGTGTGTACACTGTGTGTGTGTACACTGTGTGTGTGTACACTGTGTGTGTGTACATTGTGTGAACATTGTGTGTGTGTACACAGTGTGTGTGTACACTGTGTGTGTGTACACTGTGTGTGTGTACAGTGTGTTTGTGTGTACACTGTGTGTGTGTGTGTACACTGTGTGTGTGTACTGTGTGTACACTGTGTGTGTGTACACTGTGTGTGTACACTGTGTGTGTGTACACTGTGTGTGTGTACACTGTGTGTGTAGACTGTGTGTGTACACTGTGTGTGTGTACACTGTGTGTGTACACTGTGTGTGTACACTGTGTGTGTGTGTACACTGTGTGTGTGCACTGTGTGTACACAATGCACAGTGTACACACTGTGTGTGTACACAATGCACAGTGTACACACACTGTGTGTACACGGTGTGTGTGCATTGTGTACGTACAGTGTGTGTTACATGTATGCACACAATCAGACAAGTATTCATTCTAAATTATTGACAGGCATATGCACAAAATTGAATTACTGCAGTGAAATATACTGCATCAGATAACATCTTATTCTCTGGTTCTTTCAGTAAAGTCTCGTAGAACGAAATTTTATAGAATACGACGTTTCGATTGGAACACAAGCAACCATCATCAGGTACAACACGTGAATGAAAACACAAACATAGTGAACTTAGAAATATAATGCAACACAACACAAGTCAGCCAACACAACAGTCAACACCCTACCTGGTTGATTACGTTCTTCCAAAATTGAACAATTTAGTTTAGATAACATCTTATTAACAAGGAGCTATTTCAAGAATGCACCCTCTACTGAACAGTGGATGTGAAACACACAATTGTGCAATTCAAAACGAGTAGGCCTTTGCATGTTGGCGTCTGGGTCAAAAATTTAGCAAATTCTAAACATTACCTACAAACGACACAGCTGAGATGACAGATCAATCATCGCCCCCTACCGACAGGCTCTTGACAATATTCAGGCCGGTGCAGGGCCTCCACCTTGTGCCACACAGGGGCAGCTGCTACTTGGGGTGCTCTTGTTTGAGACGAGATACGACACAAAACTCCGTATTGCTGAGCGGATTAAGTTAGCACTATGTAAAAGCAATTATTATAACATAGTGCATGCTTGGGAGCTTATTGGCTCTCGCTCCTGGTTAGAGATCTACCAACACACAGGTCCACAAAGACTGGCCGCTCTTACCCTGCAGGTTGAACCTAGGAATTGAGTGTTCAACTTCACATTCTTGTCATTAAAGGCCTGTGACAAGGGTGCATCTATTGGAGCGACATCGTCTCAGGCTTACACATCTACCGGGTCTCCATTTGACTTTGTATTGTCTAGGAAGTCCACCCACACCTCCACCTCCACAAACTGCTGGGAGTTGCCTCGCTCTGCCTCAGTCAGAATTCTCCTCCTGCTTCACGTTGCCTCCATCGATGTGAAGGTCACATTCTGGACTTTAATCATCTTCACATTTTACCTTCACTTCTTCACTCTTCACCATCACCTCTTCATATTCCACCTTCACCTCTTCATATTTCACCTCGATAGCTTTAAAATTGTCCAAGCTGGGATTTTCTTCTGGTTCTTGTTTCACGAGGGATGGGCTCATTGCGACACTTTCACTTTCACAAGCTGATTTCAGACTCCACTCCTGGTGGATCTTGTGATGCTTGTGTGTTCTCTGGTGTACATGAAGATTTGATGACTGTGCAAACGCCTTCCCGCACGGAGTGCACTTGAAGGGTTTCTCTCCCGTGTGAGTTCTCTGGTGTATTACAAGAGTAGATGACTTTGCAAACGCCTTCCCACACACACTGCACTTGAAGGGTTTCTCTCGCGTGTGTGTTCTCTGGTGTTTTACAAGAGAAGATGACTCTGCAAACGCCTTCCCACACACACTGCACTTGAAGGGTTTCTCTCCCGTGTGTGTTCTCTGGTGTTTTACAAGAGAAGATGACTCTGCAAACGTCTTCCCACACACACTGCACTTGAAGGGTTTCTCTCCCGTGTGTGTTCTCTGGTGTTTTACAAGAGTAGATGACTGTGCAAACGCCTTCCCACACACACTGCACTTGAAGGGTTTCTCTCCCGTGTGTGTTCTCTGGTGTTCTACAAGATTTGATGACTGTGCAAACGCCTTCCCACACACACTGCACTTGAAGGGTTTCTCTCCCGTGTGAGTTCTCTGGTGCCGTGTCAAATTTGCAGTATGATCCGTGCTGTATGCACACCGGTCGCATTGTTGCCTTGTCGCACCGAGCCGCGCCGAGTGCCTTTGCTCCATCAGACCAATTCTGCAGAGGAAGCGACACCATCTACACGTCAGTATTGAGGCACAGCGGAATGCATATACACAGTGACACGTGACTTACACGTCTATACTTATTCATAGATATTCATGATGCAGTGAAAAAGTTTCCCCAAATTCATCACACGGGCTGTTATGGCACACAATGAGAGGGTGAATGGTCATAAATATGCCTGGAAGCCCTCGTATCTTCAAAATGAATGGGAACCCAAAACTCCGAGCACACAATTTCGGCTGTCTGGCTACAAAATAAATAATTATAAGAGCTAAATTCGGCTGACATAGCAAAGGGTGTTGAAACCAATCCTATTTGTGTTATGCAGAAATGCGTAAATTAATACTGGTAGGAACCTCCTGATTACACCAGCCCACAGGGGATTATTGTGTCCGTCGTGAAGGGAGGGGCTGGGTGGAGAGGGTGGAGAGGGTGGGGAGGGGCTGGGTGGGGCTGGGTGGTGGGTGGGGAGGGTGGGGCTGGGTGGGGAGGGGCTGGTCACCCCGTGGTGCCCTTATAAAACTCAACGTTTCACCTACTCACGCCGGCTTGTGCCCGCCCTCACAGTCGGGCATATTTGCGGAATACACCACGCCGCCGTTGACCCTGCAGGCCATTGAGCGAGCAACCCGACGTGTTCCTAGCAGCTCCCTCCGCAGCAGCAGGAATGTTGTTTAATCGCAACTTAGAGGTATGAATCCAGGCTCAGATGTCCTTGAATGATGGGATGAACAGATCTGACGTCAGCTGCTGCACGTGTGTGTGCTGCTAACTTCCTGTTTCCACTCTTATAAAGAGTTCCAGAGGAAAACTAAAATAAACTATTGTTTTGATACAACCTCCGTGTTCATCAGAGTTAATATACTTTACACTGTCACACACTGCCCGGTTTTCCCCTCCACATTCAGCGTCTTTGACAGACAGACATTGACACACGTAGTCTTGGTTCGTTCGGTAAAGTCACGTAGATAGCAAATAAAAATAACAGATCATGAAATAATTAAATAAAGACCACTTGTGTTGCGATCGAAACGTCGTGGGTTTATTCTTTATTTGCAATTTTTTAATTTTATTTAACATTATTATCTGTTATTTTTTTTAATCTCCGTGACTTCACCGAAAGAACCAAGAATATGAATTGCTGCAGTTACTAAAGTTTTAAGTCAAAACCCCAACCCACCTTGTGTCGTGGGCAGGTGGCTTCTGTAAACAAGAGCGTTATAGCAGCTCAGGCGGGCTTGGGCTGGTAAAAAAACGAAAAAAAAAACCGCGTTAATATCTACAGTAAACCAAAGTGACAAAGTAGCGAGCCGCGTGAAGACAAATTAAACTTAAGGGAGGGAATTAAAGCAAACGCGACCAGGCGAGGGCAGGAGGCAAGGCCCCGCGTGTCTAGGCCCCGCGTTGTAAAGTTCCAACTTGGACATCGATTCACAAGCTGCTGCTGCTCTATTGACATCCCTACGAGAGAGAGAGAGCGAGGCTCTACCTTGGTAAACAACAACAACCACAACAACAACCACAACAACAACCACCACGACGATGAGAATTTCTCACCTCGGATTTCACTGCACGCGCGGGGCGACAGCTTCCTGTTACCTCGTGACGTCACGCGGTAGTAGGTGACATGACGTCACTTCCTGGGCACGAGACACGCCCCTCCCACAACGAGCGGCTCTGTAACTAAATATGAATAAATTATGTTAATGACACCGTTGCAATAACCTCGTGACGGCTTTAACGAACTCTTTATGTTAATGAGCCGCCAGTCACTGGGCGTGGCTTTGCCCAAATAAGGATTGGCAATTGGAACGACATCTGCAGTGACCGAGGCGGAGGTGACGTCACGTTCAAGAGCGCGGTGGACGGGGGGGAGGGGGGTGACATCCTTGGTGACATGACGTCACTAGCGAGGTACACCTCCCCTGGCGTTTCACGCGGATGACGTAATGCTGAGTGGTGACGTCACAGAGCGGGGTTGGAGTTTAAGTTGATTTAGATCCATTTTCCATTGCTCCATCTCTTGAATCGAGACCCCTTGGGTGTGTGTACACTGTGTGTGTGTGTGTGTACACTGTGTGTGTGTGTGTACACTGTGTGTGTAGACTGTGTGTGTACACTGTGTGTGTGTGTACACTGTGTGTGTGTGTATACTGTGTGTGTACACAGTGTGTGTGTGTACACTGTGGGTGTGTGTACACTGCGTGTGTGTACACTGTGCGTGTGTGTACACTGTGTGTGCACTGTGCGTGTGTGTACACTGTGTGTGTACACTGTGTGTGTGTGTACACTGTGTGTGTGTACACTGTGTGTACAGTGTGTGTACACTGTGTGTGTACACTGTGTGTGCATTGTGTACATACAGTGTGTTACATGTACGCACACAATCAGACAAGTATTCATTCTAAATTATTGACAGGCATATGCACAAAATTGAATAACTGCAGTGAAATATACTGCATCAGATAACATCTTATTCTCTGGTTCTTTCAGTAAAGTCTCGTAGAACGAAATTTTATAGAATACGACGTTTCGATTGGAACACAAGCAACCATCGTCAGGTACAACAAGTGAATTAGAAAACAAACAGTGAACTTAGAAATATAATGCAACACAACACAAGAGTCAGCCAACACAAGTCAACACCCTACCTGGTTGATTACGTTCTTCCAAAATTGAATAATTTAGTTTAGATAACATCTTATTAACAAGGAGCTATTTAAAGAATGCACCCTCTACTGAACAGTGGATGTGAAACACACAATTGTACAATTCAAAACGAGTAGGCCTTTGCAAGTTGGCGACTGGGTCAAAAATGTAGCAAATTCTAAACATTACCGACAAACTCCACAACTGAGATTACACATCAACCATCGCCCCCTACTGACAGGCTCTTGTCCACACGCAGGCCGGTGCAGGGCCACCACCGTGTGCCACACAGGGGCAGCTGCCACTTGGGGTGCTCTTAGAATGTTTGAGACGAGGTACGATACAAAACTCAGAGTTGCTGAGCGGATTAAGCACCATGTAAAAGCAATTATAACATCGTGAATGCTTGGGAGCTTATTGGCTCTCTGCTGGTCAGAGATCAACCCAACACACAGGTCCACAAAGACTGGCCACCCTTACCCTGCAGGTTGAACCTAGGAACTGAGTGTTCAACTTCACATTCTTGTCATTAAAGGCCTGTGACAAAGGTGCATCTATTGGAGCGACATCGTCTCTGGCTTACACATCTACCGGGTCTCCATTTGACTTTGTATTGTCTCGGAGGCCACCCACACCTCCACTTCCACAAACTGCTGGGAGTTGCCTCGCTCTGCCTCACAGTCAGAATTCTCCTCCTGCTTCACGTTGCCTCCATCGATGTGAAGGTCACATTTTGGAGTTGAATCTTCATCTTCACATTTTACCTTCACTTCTTTGCTCTTCACCATCACTTCTTCACATTTCACCTTCACCTCTTCACATTTCACCTCGATACCTTTCAAAGTGTCCAAGCTGGGATTGTCGTCCGGTTCTTGTTTGATGAGGGATGGGCTCATTGCAGAACTTTGACTTTCACAAGCTGATTTCAGACTCCACTCCTGGTGGATCTTCTGATGCTTGTGTGTTCTCTGGTGTACATGAAGATGTGCTGACTGTGCAAACGCTATCCCACACACACTGCACTTGAAGGGTTTCTCTCCCGTGTGTGTTCTCTGGCGTTCTACAAGAGCAGATGACTGTGCAAACGCCTTCCCACACACACTGCACTTGACGGGGTTCACTCCCGTGTGAGTTCTCTTGTGTTTTACAAGAGTAGATGAATTTGAAAACGCCTTCCCACACACACTGCACTTGAAGGGTTTCTCTCCCGTGTGTGTTCTCTTGTGTTTTACAAGAGTAGATGAATCTGAAAACGTCCTTCCCACACACACTGCACTTGAAGGGTTTCTCTCCCGTGTGTGTTCTCTGGTGTGTTACAAGAGTAGATGACTTTGCAAACGTCTTCCCACACACACTGCACTTGAAGGGTTTCTCTCCCGTGTGTGTTCTCTGGTGTTTTACAAGAGTAGATGAAAGTGCAAACGCCTTCCCACACACACTGCACTTGTAGGGTTTCTCTCCCGTGTGTGTTCTCTGGTGTGCTACAAGAGTAGATGACTTTGCAAACGTCTTCCCACACACACTGCACTTGAAGGGTTTCTTTCCCGTGTGTGTTCTCTGGTGTGCTACAAGAGTAGATGAAAGTGTAAACGCCTTCCCACACACACTGCACTTGAAGGGTTTCTCTCCCGTGTGTGTTCTCTGGTGTTTTACAAGAGTAGATGAAAGTGAAAACGCCTTCCCACACACACTGCACTTGAAGGATTTCTCTCCCGTGTGTGTTCTCTGGTGTGCTACAAGAGTAGATGACTTTGCAAACGTCTTCCCACACACACTGCACTTGAAGGGTTTCTTTCCCGTGTGTGTTCTCTGGTGTGCTACAAGAGTAGATGACTGTGCAAACGCCTTCCCACACACACTGCACTTGAAGGGTTTCTCTCCCGTGTGTGTTCTCTGGTGTGTTACAAGAGTAGATGACTTTGCAAACGTCTTCCCACACACACTGCACTTGAAGGGTTTCTTTCCCGTGTGTGTTCTCTGGTGTGTTACAAGAGTAGATGACTGTGCAAACGCCTTCCCACACACACTGCACTTGAAGGGTTTCTCTCCTGTGTGAGTTCTCTGGTGCCGTGTCAAATTTGCAGGACGATCCGTGCTGTATGCACACCGGTCGCATTGATGCCTTGTCGCACCGAGCTGCGCCGAGTGCCTTTGCTCCATCAGACCAATTCTGCAGAGGAAGCGACAGCTGCAGACAGAAAAAGAATATCCACACCATCTACACGTCAGTATCGAGACACAGCGGAATGCATATATACACAGTCACACGTGACTTACACGTCTATACTTATTCATATATTCATGATGTAGTGAAACAGTTTCCCAAATTCATCACACAGGCTGTTATTGCACACAATGAGAGGGTGAATGGTCATAAATATGCCTGGAAGCCCTCGTATCTTCAAAATGAATGTGAACCCAAAACTCCGAGCACACAATTTCGGCTGTCTGGCTACAAAATAAAAATGTATAAGAACTAAATTCAGCTGACATAGCAAAGGGTGTTGAAAACAATCCTATTTGTGTTATGCAGAAATGCGTAAATTAATACTGGTAGGAACCTCCTGGTTACACCAGCCCACAGGGGATTATTGTGTCCGTCGTGAAGGGAGGGGCTGGGTGGGGAGGGTGGAGAGGGGCTGGGTGGGGCTGGGTGGTGGGTGGGAGGGGTGGGACTGGGTGGGGAGGGGCTGGTCACCCCGTGGTGCCCTTATAAAACTCAACGTTTAACCTACTCACGCCGGCTTGTGCCCGCCCTCACAGTCGGGCATATTTGCGGAATACACCACGCCGCCGTTGACCCTGCAGGCCATTGAGCGAGCAACCCGACGTTCCTAGCAGCTCCCTCCGCAGCAGGAATGTTGTTCAGTGGCAACTTAGCGGTATGAAGCCAGGCTCAGATGTCCTTGAATGATGGGATGAACAGATCTGACGTCAGCTGCTGCACGTGTGTGTGCTGTGCTAACTTCCTGTTTCCACTCTTATAAAGAGTTCCAGAGGAAAACTAAAATAAACTATTGTTTTGATATCACCTCCGTGTTCATCAGAGTTAATATACTTTACATTGTCACACACCATCTTTACACTGTCACACACTGATAGACTTTACTGCAAACACAAACTTGATACTGTCACAGAGTTGATAGACTTCACTGCAAACACAAACTCAACACTGTCACACAGAGTTGATAGACTTTACTGCAAACACAAACTTGACACTGTCACACACAGTGCCATGGTAAACCGGTGGTGGTGTGGAGTTTACACCAGACACCCCGCCCCGGTTTTCCCCTCCACATTCAACATCAGCGTCTTTGACAGACAGACATTGACACGCGTAGTCTTGGTTCTTTCGGTAAAGTCACGTAGATAGGAAATAAAAATAACAGATCATGAAATTAAATTAAAAAAAGACCACTTGTGTTGCGATCGAAACGTGGTGGGTTTATTCTTTATTTGCAATTTTTTTTATTTTATTTAACATTATTATCTGTTATTCTTTTTAATCTCCGTGACTTTACCGAAAGAACCAAGAATATGAATTGCTGCAATTACTAAAGTTTTAAGTCAAAACACCGAGACACGCGTTGACAAAACCCACCTTGTGTCGTGGGCAGGTAGCTTCTGTAAACAAGAGCGGTACAGCAGCTCAAGCGGGCTTGGGCTGGTAAAAAAACGAAAAAAAAAACTGCGTTAATATCTACAATAAACCAAAGTGACAAAGTAGCGAGCCGCGTGAAGACAAATTAAACTTAAGGGAGGGAATTAAAGCAAACGCGACCAGGCGAGGGCAGGAGGCAAGGCCCCGCGTGTCTAGGCCCCGCGTTGTAAAGTTCCAACTTGGACATCGATTCACAAGCTGCTGCTGCTCTATTGACATCCCTACGAGAGAGAGAGCGAGGCTCTAGCTTGGTAAACAACAACAACCACAACAACAACCACAACAACAACCACAACAACCACAACCACCACGACGATGAGAATTTCTCACCTCGGATTGCAGTTCACGCGCGGACCTCCAGCTTCCTGTTAGCTCGTGACGTCACGCGGCAGCAGATGACGTCACGCGGCTGCAGATGACGTGACGTCACGCGGCAGCAGATGACATGACGTCACGCGGCAGCAGATGACATGACGTCGCTTTCTGGGGTACAAGACCCTCCCCTCCCACAATGAGAGGCTACCCTAACTGAATAAATTAATAAATTATGTTGATGTTTGCGATCATCAACATTATCAATAAACATCATTTACACCATCATATACAACAATATCATCAGCATCATCATCAGCATCAACAACAACATCATCAGCAACATCATCACCACCCCTAGCATCAGCAGAAATATCAACATCATCATCAGCAACAGCAACAACAACATCAGCAGCATCAACAACAACAACAACATCATCAGCATCAACAACATCAGCAACACCGTCACCATCTAGAACAGAGGGGAGGGAAGACTGCGGCCTAGTCGGCCTCGGGCCATCCCGAGTTTTCCTAGCGGACCCGCCGCGCCCGGAGCGCCTCCCCCGGCAGGAGTCGGGATCGAATAACGGGTCCGCCGGGCGTGGTGAACACACATACACACAGTGTACACACACACACACAGTGCACACACACAGTGCACACAGTGTACACACACACATAGTGCACACACACACACACAGTGCACACACACAGTGTACACACACACAGTGCACACACAAAGTGTACACACACACATTGTACACACACACAGTGTACACACACACAGACAAACACACACAGACACACAGTGTGTACACACACAGTTTACACACAAACACACAGTGTACACACACACAGACACACACACAGAGTGTACACACACACAGTGCACACACAGACACACATACACAGTGTACTCACACACACACACTGTACACACACACAGTGTACTCACAGACACACAGTGTACACACACACAGTGTACACACACACAGTGGAAACACACACACAGACACACACAGTGTGTGTACACACACACACAGTGCACACACACACAGTGTACACACACACACAGTGTACACACACAGAGTGTACACACACACAGTGCACACACAGACACATACACAGTGTACACACAGACACACAGTGTACAGACACACATACACAGTGTACACACAAATACACAGTGTACACACAGACACACAGTGGACACACACACACAGACACACACAGTGTACACACATAGTGTACACACACACACAGTGTACACACAGTGTACACACACAGTACACACACACACTGTATACACACACACACACAGACACACAGTACACACACAGACACACAGTGTGTACACACACAGACACACAGTGTACACACACACAGACACACACACAGAGTGTACACACACAAACACAGTGCACACACAGACACACATACACAGTGTACACACAGACACACAGTGTACACACACACAGACACACACACACAGACACACACAGTGTACAAACAGACACACACAGTGTACACACACACAGACACACAGACACACACAGTGTACACACAGACACTCCAACACACAACCGGTTAGTGCTGCTCCAGTGACAGATTGGCACGGTATGTCACGTGATAAACCTTGCGAATCGGCTGTCGGCTGATGGCCGGTTTAACGACACGCATACATTCAAACTTTATTTGGAGTTGGAGTTTGTGTCTCTCTCTCATCATCACGGTGGCTAGGAGATGTTAACTACCTCGCCTGGTATGCAGGAGGTCGTGGGTTTGATCCCGATACTGAAGATTCTTGCTGTATATTTGGAGTTTGTGTGTCTCTCTCTCATCATCACGGTGGCTAGGAGATGTTAACTCCCTCGCCTGGTATACAGGAGGTCATGGGTTTGATCTCGATCCTGAAGATTCTTGCTGTATATTTGGAGTTTGTGTGTCTCTCTCATCATCATCACGGTGGCTAGGAGATGTTAACTACCTCGCCTGGTATGCAGGAGGTCGTGGGTTCGATCCCGGCCCTGGCGACGCCAACTGCTGTATATTTGGAGTCTGCGTGTCTCTCTCTCTCTCATCATCATCAGTGAGTGGGTGAGGTGAGTGGGTGGGTGATTGTGTGAGCGAGTGGGTGTGCGGGTGAGTGGGTGGGTGAGTGTGTGAGCGAGTGGGTGTGCGGGTGAGTGGGTGGGTGAGTGTGTGAGGTGAGTGTGTGAGCGAGTGGGTGTGCGGGTGAGTGGGTGGGTGAGTGTGTGAGGTTAGTGTGTGAGAGAGTGAGTGTGTGAGCGAGTGGGTGTGCGGGTGAGTGGGTGGGTGAGTGTGTGAGCGAGTGGGTGTGCGGGTGAGTGGGTGGGTGAGTGTGTGAGGTGAGTGTGTGAGCGAGTGGGTGTGCGGGTGAGTGGGTGGGTGAGTGTGTGAGGTTAGTGTGTGAGAGAGTGAGTGTGTGAGCGAGTGGGTGTGCGGGTGAGTGTGCGGGTGAGTGGGTGGGTGAGTGTGTGAGCGAGTGGGTGTGCGGGTGAGTGGGTGGGTGAGTGTGTGAGCGAGTGGGTGTGCGGGTGAGTGGGTGGGTGTGCGGGTGATGTGAGTGGGTGGGTGAGTGTGTGAGCGAGTGGGTGTGCGGGTGAGTGGGTGGGTGTGTGAGCGAGTGGGTGTGCGGGCGAGTGGGTGGGTGAGTGTGTGAGGTGAGTGTGTGAGCGAGTGGGTGTGCGGGTGAGTGGGTGGGTGAGTGTGTGAGCGAGTGGGTGTGTGAGGTGCGTGGATGGGTCAGTGAGTGGATGAGTGAGGAGGGGTACCAGGTCGTCTACTGGGGGTGAGGGGTCATTATACAGGGCGGTTCAAAGGTCAAGACACAGTTTCTTGGGTTTTTATTTTATTGTGATTTTCCGAGTTTACAAAGGTAGCTCTCTCTCCATCCGTCTCTCCACTCTCTCTTCCTCTCTCCACTGCTGGGCCTGTAGGCTTGGCCCGAGCGAGTTCCCGCCTTTTCACGAGTTGATTCCGCCCCCCGCCGTGGCTTTGTCGGCACGAGGCTTCTGCGCCGGTGAGTGTCAAGGGCTCCAACGGGCCCCAAACCGCTGCCCCGTCGTCACCGCCGCCGTGGACAAAGCGCCGATGCTCGACATCATGAGCTGCGTGGAGAGGGACCTTCTGGACCTCATGTTGCGCACGGGCTACAACGTCGTCCAGGAGAACGGACAGAGGAAGCTGGGACCGCCGCCCGACTGGCAGGGCCCCCCTCCCGCCCGCGGCTGCGAGGTGTTCGTGGCGAGGATCCCGCGCGACCTGTACGAGGACGAGCTGCTTCCCTGTGCTGGAGGCGGTGGGGCAGCTGTACCAGCTGCGCCTCATGATGACGTACGACGGAGAGAACCGCGGCTACGCGTTCGCCACCTTCGCGACGCGCTCGCAAGCCGCGGACGCCGTCAAGAGACCCCACGACTTGGAGATCCGCCCGGGGCGACGGATCGCGGTTTGCGTGAGCGTCGACAATCGCCGCCTCTTCTTGGCGAGGCTGCCGAAGGACAAGACGCGGGCCGAGGTGATGGCGGCGATGAGCGACGCCACGGAGGGCGTCGTGGACGTCCAGATGCGCTTCTGTCGCTACGACAGGAGCCTCAGCCGAGGCTACGCGTTCGTCGAATACGAGAGCCACCGCGCGGCCTGCATGGCCCGCAGGGTGCTGCTGCCGTACTCCTTCCGGCTGTGGGGCCGGGACATCAACGTGGACTGGGCCATCCCGCAGCGAGAGCCGGGGGCGGCGGCTGCTGCTGCTGCCGCGGCGGTGGCAACGGAAGACGACGAGGAGGGGGGGGAGGAGGAAGCGGCAACTGAAGACGAGGAGGAAGAGGTGGTGGAGGAGGAGGAGGTGGAAGAGGTGGTGGAGCGGGAGGAGGAGGCAACGGAAGACGAGGAGGAGGGGGGGGAGGAGGAGGTGGAGGAGGAGGATGTGGAGGAGGAGGCAACGGAAGACGAGGAGGAGGAGGAGGCGGGGGCAACTGAAGATGAGGAGGAAGAGGTGGTGGAGGAGGAGGAGGTGGAAGAGGTGGTGGAGGAGGAGGAGGAGGAGGAGGTGGGGGAGGAGGGGGGAGGAGGAGGAGGGGGAGGAGGAGGCAACGGAAGACGAGGAGGAGGGGGAGGAGGAGGCGGGGGCAACTGAAGATGAGGAGGAAGAGGTGGTGGAGGAGGAGGAGGAGGATGAGGTGGTAGAGGAGGAGGAGGTGGTGGAGGAGGAGGAGGAGGAGGAGGCAATTGAAGACGAGGAGGAGGTGGCGGCGGTCCCAGGCCTCCCGCAGCCGGAGTGCGCCGTCTGCGGCAAGGTCCCGCACAGCCTGTTTGTGGGCTGGGCGGCGCGCACGCAGCTCTGGCGGGCACCCCGCCACTCGCGGCCCACGCCCGTCGGTCTGGACGAGCTGCCGGAGGCGGCCGTCTTGTCGTGGGAGACGCGTTTGCAGGCGCTGCTACGGAGCGCCGGCGTGGGCCACGCGACCTTCGAACTGCACGCTCACTCGGAGCCCGGCAGGCCCATGGGCCTCCTGTACAAGGTCTCCGTTCCCGGGATGATGCGGGAAGGCAGCGGCTTCTTCCCCGCGGTGCTGAGCTCCAGCGTGGAGGGAGCGCGCGAAGTTGCCAGCGAGCTCCTCCACGAAATCCTCAGCGACGCGAACCCGAGGGCGGGCCCGGCCCCCGTCGCGACGGCGCCTCCCGGCCGCCCCGTCCGGGACCTCCCGGCGTATCCCGGCGACTTCCCCGCGCCCCGGCAGCCGGTCGCCGCGCGCCTGCCGACAAGCGGCACGCACCCGTAGTGCCGCGTGGCCGTCGTGGCGGCGTTCGTCAGACCGCGGACGGTGTCCTACCGCTTGAAGCTCACATCCGTTCTGCCGTGTTCACCGTCAAACTGCAAGTTGCCCGGCCGCTCACTCGACATGGTCACGTTGCCGCATGCCAGAGCTCGCAATCGGGTACCCGTACACGTTCCCTACCCGATACCCGGCTACCCGTACCCGGCCGGGTACGGGTAGGGTACAGGTATCGG